TCTGATTCTGTGGTACACAATAATAACAATTTTATTTTTGTGTTTTGATACTGTATGTGTGTTTAAACAACATACCTGAGCATCCCAAATAGCTAATCACTCAGCTGCCAGCCAGGAAGTTGGTGGTGTGAGTTCACCTGGAGGTGCCTCATGCAGTTCTGATAATAAACTAGAATAGAATTATAATATTAATAGAAGAAGAGGAGAGGAGAGGAGAGGATGCTGTTAGGGACCTCTCCAAAGTACTAAAGAGCAGTGGTGTCTCTCTGGAGACTAAGATGAGTCTGATACATGCCATGGTCTTTGCTGTCACTTGTTATGCATCAGAGAGTTGGACAATGACCAAGGAGGATAGAAGGAGAAATGATGCCTTTGAGCTGTGGTGCTGGAGAAGAGTATTGAGGGTACCATGGACTGCTAGGAAAACAAACAGATTCATCCTGGAAAGAGTTAAACTGGGTGGCTTCTTGGAGGCAAGGATTCTGAGGCTCTGTCTAACATACTTTGGACATGTTGTATGGAGAGACCGGTCCTTGGAGAGGGACATCATGCTTGGGAGGGTGGAGGGACAGCGCAGGAGGGGAAGACCCTCTATGATGTGGATTGATTCAGTGACTGGGGTAATCGGGATGGGAGTGTCAGAGACAATGCGATTGACACAGGACAGAGCAGAGTTTAGGGCTGTTGTACATAGGGTCACTATGAGTCGCAAGCGACTCAACGGCACATAACATAACATAACATAACATAACATAACACATAAGTATAAAACACATAATGTGTTACATGTTGGTCTGCTAACCAAAGATAAGTGGTTCGAACCCACCAGCTGCTCCACCAAAGAGATCATCACTCTTCCCACATTGACAGCTCTGGAAACCTTCTAGAAGTTCACCATGAGTCAGCATTTACTTGATTGTCTTGCCTTAGAAACACCTCAGAATATAGGCCTGGTGGTCTATTTAAAAACAAAACAAAAAACCCTCAACCATTGAAAACCCTGTGGTGAGCAGCTTGGCTCTGACAGAGGTGAAGTCATTATGAGTTGAAATTGAATGTGCAACAGCTGGCTTCTTCTTTTTAAACTACTAGATGCATAGAAATATCTGGTTGATATAAATAAAAGTGCACAGAGCAGTGAACCAGAAGGTTGGCAGTTCAGTTAAAGTTCACCACACCAGCCCCTCAGAGGCACCAGCCAGGAGCCTGACAATCTGCTTCTAAAATAATCAGCTCAGGGCTGCCCTGACAGCATCTGGTTCTTACTGTGTACATGACACTGTGTTAAGTGTTATACATGAAATTGTGACTCTTCATAACAAACCTTCAGCATTTTAAAGACACAAGACCACAGAGCTTGTTATCTGTTTTAATGGCCCTTAGCTGGTGAGTAGCAAGATGAGCAGTGGACTTGGGTTTCTGCGAGGCCAGAGTACTTTCCGCTTTCAATTACTCTTAGTTACAAGTATGGCTGTGCATTGATGGAGCCCAAATTGAAAGTATAATTCTCTTTTATGTGGCACTGACATACTATTATGCAGGGGTAGAATTTGTTAAGGTCTAATATTTCTGGGACTGCAGCAGGTTTTTACTTCATTTTATATTGTGATCTAAAGGACTAAGGATAAATAATTTTTTTTCCTTTTTATGGTGATTTTAACGAAGGTTTATAGAAAATTTGGATTTTCGTTATTCATTGTTGCACATTTTCCTCCTTACTCCTCAGTGCAATTAAAAAGAAATCCATTATTGCATAATTTCGTCCTTGTCCCACACCCCCAAATCATCGTTTTAGAAGAATTAACGTTAAAAGTATACAATTTTGACATGCTGCCTTTCCCCTTTATACCGTTAGTGCTTTATGAAATTGTTAATGATTTTTTTATTGTTAATGATTTAAGTTCTGCATGTCTTGTTGATTTCCTTTCTTATGTTAAACATTCCCAGTTCCTAATAGAAAAATAAAAGATCTTGGCATAATCTTTCATCCATGGAGAATATTTTAAATAACAAAAAATCTAGAATATATTGAATTTCTGTTTGTGTGAAAGTGCATTCTGTAGGCCTAGGTGCCTCTGGAGGGTAAGGAGTTGCACTGCCAACCCCAAGGCAGGCTGTTCATATCCATCAGCTTCTCTACAGTAAAAAGATGGGCAGTCTCCTCTCATTCAGTTATAGACTCTCAAATCCCCTGTGAGTTGGTTCCAACTCGATGGCACATAACAACAGCAACAATTTGTATTAAGATATTGAAATTAGTTTGTATATTGTCCTCCAGTATAAAAGATTGCATAATCTGTACTTAACTAACAATCCTAACACTCGCCAGCAGACTCTGCAGGGACAAGATGTTGTCTGCTATTTCTGCATTGTTTGCCTAGTCTTTGTATGACTGTTTAATGAAGACAGTTGTTTTAAGAAGGCATTGGGATAGGCTTTCCATTTCCTGGTAGAAAATAGACATTCTTCCTTCAGTAGATAATTTAAAGATAAAACAAACTATTAGTGTAATAGCCAACACAGTTAGTATTTATAGTCCAGCTATAAGAAATAATGTTTAGAGTTTTTTATTTACAATAATAATTACGCTGAAGACAAAGACAGCGTTAATAGCCAATATTTATTGAATGTTTATTAAGTGCAAAGAACTACTTTAGATGTAATTTTTCCTCTAACCCTCACCATAAAGCCATGAGGAAGGTACTTGCCTCAGAGTTGTCTTAAGATTTGTTAAAAATACAGATTACTGGACCTTTGCCTCACAGAAAGCCATCCAGTTGGGACCAACTGACAGCTGACCCTCCAGTAGGTTTCAGAGACAGTAAATCACAGGGGAAGAGATTGCTCATCTTTCTCAGAGCAGATGGAGGATTCGAACCTCCTACCTAGAAATAATAAACCTAATCTGAAAGTTGGAGCCTAGGAGTCTGCATTTTTAACAAATAACACCAATCTAGCCCAACTTGGATACTGCCTGAACAAAGTCAATTTGGTTAAAAAGCTGGGAAGAAGCATAGTTTGCTTGAGACATATCAAATTAGGTTGAAGAGTTTATATTGAGGTCTAATAAGCATAGTCAAATTTAGGACTACAGAAATCAAGATATTCCATCTTCATGAGGAAATAGCTATAAATATTCTTGAGCAAGAAAGTAGCTGGATGAAAACATTATTTACAGAAAATTATTCTAGGAACTGACTCATTTCTATTTTACCTTGTCTTACAAATTTGTCTTGCCAGTTTGGTTTTTCATTATTTCTTATTTTATCTTACTGGCTTCTAGATCTGTTATTGGAGAGGAATACATTATGTTTATAAATACCTCAAAGAATCTTTAAAAAATGCCGTAGAATGGGATCTAAAAGCTGCAATCCAATACCTGGAACATTAAAAGCTTATGAACAGTATTGATCGTGCCATCCACCTCTAGGTCTTGAAGTCCCAATTGGTTTCTTTTGTCTGCTTCAGACTTTCATGCAGTATTGATAGAAATCTTAATTGTTATGACTTCTGTAGATGATAATACAATAATTGTTTCATGTTAGGGAAGTGGAACAGAACTGTGAATGCACAGGCCTGAGCTCTGAACCCTTGTCGGTGGCAGAGACACTGGGAGAACCCAGACCCCCTCTCTGCCAGTCTCCAGTTCTCTTTGCACATCAGCCTAACTGATAACAGAAGGATAAACTTGTCCTGAACTTGCCCTTGGCCTTTTCCTTCCTCTAAAGAGAGCTCTAGCAGTATAGCCCCTAGGGATTGGACTGCCAACGGAAAGGCTATTCAGAGCCACCTGTGACCCCACAGGTGTCATCTTTTTATGCTTATAAAGGATCAGTGTTGTGTTAAAAGAATATTTTTGTCTTTGTTGTCATGTGCCTTCTAGTCACCTGCGACTCATAGCAACTCTGTACAACAACCTTACACCCTGCTCTATCCTATGCCAACCTTATTGTCATTGAAATACCTAGCCCCATTATCCCAGTCACTGAATAAATCCACCTCATAGAGGGTTTTCCTCTCTTACGCTGTCCTTCCCCACTCCCAAGTATGATGTCCTCTTCAAGGACTGGTCCCTCCTTGCAACATGTCCAAAGTATGTCAGATGAAGCTTCAGAATCCTTGCCTCCGAGGAACATCCTAGTTTCACCCTCTCCAGGGAAAACCTGTTTGTTTTCTTGACAGTCTATGGTATATTCAATACTCTTCTCTAGCACCGCAGTTCAAAGGCATCAATTCTCCTGCTATCATGCCTAGACTGCAAAGACTGTGGCCTGAATCAGCTGCACCCTAGTCACAAATTTTTTATCTTGATGTTGTCACATTTTTAACTTTCTATTTTAAATTAAAATCAGAGTTAGAGAAGAGTTAAAGAGAGTTTGCACATATTCTTCAACCAGTTTTCCTTGCCTTTCACATCTTGCAGACCAAACACAGTTGCCATCAAGTCAGTTCCAACTCATGCTTCATGTGCATCAGCATGGAACTGTAAATGGAAATTGTTTTGTTTTTAAAAAGGGAGGCGGACAGAGAATAAAACCAAAGGGAAAGACATTATTACTGGTTTTAGTCCAAGGAAGGTTGTTTCTACATTGTTCTAATTTAGTAGTATACCAAAGGGAACACGTGTGGCCTAGTGGCAAGAACCTGCACTGCCAACCCAAAGGTATGTGGTTTGAATCCACCAGCTGCCATGCAAGAGAAAAATGGACATTATCCTCCCATTTTTCAGCATTTGAAAACCCACTGGAAGGTCAGGTATGGATTTGTTTTAACTCAATGACACATAAAAATAAGTAGTATACCAAACTTGTAGGCTGAGAATTCAGCATCTTCCATTTAATTGTTAATACTAGTCTCTTTTTCAAGGAAATTGAGGGAAAACAACACATGAACCAGAAAACCTCCAGATTTGTTAGATCTGGATTGCTCATAATACTAAGTGCTCCCATTTTTAACCTGCCTGTGTTTGATCTCTCTCATTTTTTCTTTTCTTTCTGAAGCTGCAAGAGAAGTCATCTGGTTAGAAAGGGAAGAGCGAGCCCGGCAGCACTACGAGAAGCTCCTGGAGGAGCGGAAGAAGAAGCTCGAGGAGCACAGGCTGAAGGAGGAGCGCAGGCGAGCTGCGGTGGAGGAGAAGCGGAGGCAGAGACTCGAGGAGGACAAAGTGAGAGGCCCGGGAGGCCCGTCTGTGAGGGCAAGAGCACATACCCCACGCAGCTCTGCTCAGAGCGGGTGGGGAGTGGGCAGGGACGCTGTGTGGAGCTGTGGTCTCCAGGAGTCCACGGAGAATGGGGCAGGTTCCTTTTAATGCCCCAGAAGCTTGCTTCAAAGCTTTATTTTCTAGTCCCGACCTGACATTCATTTCTCCATTATTCCCTGCTGACTTAGTGAAATGACTCCTAGAAGTTAGAGTCGTGTAGGTAGGACTTAATCTTTTGCATGCATTTTAAACTTAGGCCATCAGGATAGGACAAGCCTCTCATCTATTATTCATAGGTCACTCTGAGTCATACTTGACTCTACAGCACCTAATGACAATAACTACCGTGAGTGCTAAGTATTGTTTTGTTGTTATTATTGTCATATACCACCGAGTCGGCACCAACCCATAGCTGACCCTCTGGTGGGTTTTCAGAAGCACAGGAGGAAATTGCCTTTCTCCCGCAGAGCAGCTGGTGGCTTCGAACTGCATACCTTAGGGATTGCAGTGCACCTTCTAGTGCCACTAGGCCACTAGAGTACTGTTTTAGTGAGAGGAAAAAAGAAAGGAAATCTAGACTCAAAGTAGTTAAGATGCACAAGATCAATATGACTCAATAAGGCAAGAGATGCACAGATGCCAAATTCCATTGTTAAAATGCTGTCCCACGTTTGTGGTGGTGGTGTTGCGTGCAAGCAAGTGAACGACAACTGACAGGGGCCCTGTGAACTGCAGAGTAAAGCCTTGCCTGGCCCTCCACAACCCTCACAGTATCCCCCATGCTCCAGTCCATTGTCACAGCCTCTGTTTCAGACCATCTCATTAAAGGTCCTCCTCTCCTTCACTGATCATCTACTCGTTTGCTAGCCTACTCAGTCAAGATTTGTACTCCCAACGCAGAGGCAGTCAGTTTGAATCCACCAGCTGCTCCAATGGAGGAAAAACACAGTGGAGGATTGGCTTTAGGTTGGTTCTGGCTCGGTGGCAATGAGTAAGTTACTTAGTACTACTTTTCCCAGCAAGGTGTCTTTTTACAGGGACTGGGCCCTCCTGCCAACATGGCCAAAGTATGTGAGATTAAGTATCACCATCCAAGGCTCTCCAGAGCACTAGGATGCACTTTCTCCAAGATGAGTTTGTTGGGGTGTGGTGTTGTGTTTTGTTTTTAGGCAGTCCATTTTATATTCCATGATCTTCGCCAACATTACAATTCAAAGGCATCACTTTTTCCTTATTCATTTCAGATGCCTAGGAAGCAATTAAAAACACCATGGCTTGGATTACGTATACCTTAGTCTTTAAACTGATACCTCCGCTCTATAACACGTTAGAGAGACCCTTGACAGCAGATCTTCCCAGTTAACAAGACTTGATTTCTTGATTCCCGTGACTGTGAATGTTGATTGTGGAGCCAAGTACAATGAAGTCATTGACAGTTTCAGTCTTTTCTCCCTCTATCATGATGTTGGCCTGTTGGTCCAGTGGTGAGGATTTTTGTTTTCTTGATGTTGACATGTAATCCATACTTAATGCTATAGTCTTTGATCTTCTGCAGCAAGCACTTCAGGTCCAAGTCACTTGCAGGAAGCAAGCTTGTATCATCTGCATGATGCAGGTTGTTGAGGTGTCTTCCTCTGATTCTGATGCCACATTCTTCTTCGTAAAGCTTCTTAAATGATTTACACAGCATGCAGATTGCATTGGAATGGAGAAAGGTTACATCCCTGATGCACACCTTTCCTGAATTTGTACCATTTAGTATTATTAGTATTCTGTTCAGACAACAGCTTCTTGATTTACGTGTAGGTTTCACATAATCACAATTAAGTATTCCGGGCTTCCCATTCTTCTCAAGATTAGCCATAATTTGTTATGATCCATGATCCACACAAACACTTTGCATAATTAAGAAAATACAAGTAAACATGTTTCTGGTATTTTCCGCCTTGCCATCTGGCTTCCTAGAGAGTTGTTGCTGTTAGGCAGCCTGGAGGCAGTTCCAGCTCGTAACGATCCCATGTAGAACATGCCCTGCATCGTCCTTGCGAGCTTGGATGTGTTTCGGCCAGTTGTCAGCAGCCACTATGTCAGTCACGTACTCATTTTCTTCTTTTCCACCGACCCTTTACTTTACCAAACAGATGTTGTTGTTATTGTTATGTGCCGTCGAGTCGCCTGTGACTCATAGCAACCCTATGTACAACAGCCCTAAACTCTGCTCTGTCCTGTTCCAATCACACCATCTCTGACACTCCCATCCCGATTACCCCAGTCACTGGATCAATCCACCTCATAGAGGGCCTTCCCCTCCTGCGCTGTCCCTCCACCCTCCCAAGTGTGATGTCCTTCTCCAAGGACCGGTCTCTACTCACAAACACATACATTGAAGAAACCTTGAGGGGTGGTTCTACTCTGTCACATGGGGTCACTTGGAGTCCACATGGACTGTTTGCCACCTAAAAGAAACCACATTGGTTCATATCTGTTTATGTCACTATTTGTACCACTGTCCTTATGTGCGAAGGAGATATTATTCCCACTTTAAAGATAAGACGATTGGGGCCCAGGTTAGAAAACAGGTTCAGACTGATAAAGAAGTTAAAAAGTGTCCTTTGTTCCACTCTGTCTTAAATTAAAGATGCCCACTTAACCACTCGGAATATAAGCATTAGGCTGTCTGTTCTATTGCAGGAACGCCATGAAGCTGTTGTGCGGCGTACAATGGAGAGAAGCCAGAAGCCAAAACAGAAATATAACCGGTGGTCTTGGGGAGGCCCGCTCCACGGGAGCCCCAGCATCCACAGTGCAGGTAAACAGGCTGTGACAGCTCTCAGAATCAGTGCCTCTCCTAGACAATAAAAGCGCAGTTGCTTCTTACCTTGAGTCTGTGTGTGCAAACCAGAAATCCTGCTGACGTAATTACACTGCAATAAATGATGCTTCCATCTTTGGAGGATAAGTGGGTGATGGAGGTAAGAACATCAGGTTCTTTCTTTAACACAAACTGCTCTCCTCACTCGTTACACAATTCCTTGAAGAGATAGCAATCTATTCAGTGTTTCTAAATGAGCGTTCTAGTTACAACTCCACATTCTTTTAGGTAATTCATAGTAATATTAACTGATAAAAATTAGCAGTGTAAGTGTATGTATTCTGACCCTAAGTGTTTGCGACACTAGTACTTTGCAAAGAAATAGGCAGGTTTCCAAAGGAGAAATGGTAATAGTTGTCTGAGCCGTTTCTCCCTCCTTGGATAGATAAAATTATACTGCGATTTGGATGTAGTAGAAGGCTGTACTTTTTGTACTGTAAATTCAATATACTTTTAATTTTGCACAGTGTGTCAGCTCTTTTTCATTTGTTTGAGTCTAATAATATGTTTTCTTTCTTTTTTAAAATTTCCTTTGAAACACCATTGTCTTACATTCTGTCCCCAGGTGGTTTTGTTGAATCATCATTCACCTCTCTCGATTTAGCAGGCCTGGACCACCACTGCACAGCTTTTGGTGGTACTAGAAAACCTGGTACAGACATGCTTACGATTGCTGAGTGCCCGACCTGTAGCTAGTCCCTCAGAGCTCGGGCCAGTTCATCAGTAGCTGAGCCATCACCACTGTAGTCATAATGCATGCTTCCTGTCCTGTTGCATAGGTCTAGATCTGGTTTATGGCACAGTGTTTCTTAAGTGTGATCATATGATTTGCGAGACTTAAAGGTTTGAAATAAAGCGATTGCATGTGGTACACTTGCATTCACTTTAAAAGATCATTTTAGATAAGACCTGAAAAACTATTTTAAATATATTACATGGAGCCAAAGTGCATCTGGTTCACATTCCTACCTTCCCTCTAATTGGTATTGATACCTTTTTAAATTGTGATCTGTGAGACTGTGGGTTACTGTGCAGACGTTTTCACTCCTATCTTTTAATATAGCTTCTATGACCTCTTTATTTAATAAGTAAATAAATAG